TGTGGGAGACTGCAGTCAATGTCATGAGACAAAATGGGTATGAACTGCTACATGGAAAATGAATTTGCTCTGTGAACTTTCACCCAAATCACAATTAAAAAATAAAAAATGGCCGTCACTTCAAAACCTGTCTGTTGATGGCACCATCTCTCTAATGGGACTGGCATCTTTACTCTGCCTATTTCCCTGGAGGCGTCAGGGTTTTAAACCCCACGGGAAATCCTGTGATCAGTTGGGGGGCCCACCCACGGCTCCTCCCTTCTTGCTGCAGTTTGTTGAGTAACCCCTGTGCCTCAGTTTCCTTATCTGTGGAACAGGGAAAGGAAGAGCCCAAGGTGAGATGCCTGAGCACAGCCATGACCTGACCTCAGGAAGCTCTGTGACATCACCAACAGTTGCCATGGCAGCAGGAGGACGCGTGGTCCAGAGGATCCCGCTGAGCTGGGGGGGCACAGGGCAAAACTGACCCAGGGAGACTGTCCCACAGAAGCCAAGTTCTCCCTCATTGCAGTTAAGATGCTCTTCAGGAGGCGGGGTTTGCACAGGGAGACAGCTCGGGGCGGGAGTGCACGGAAAGGGCACAGGGAAGAGGTGGCCACAGGGAGGAAGGGGAGACAGCTCTCACACTGGGGGGGTTGCAGTCGATGTCCCGTGAGAAAATAGGTATGAACTGCTGCATGGACAATGAGTTCTCTCTGTAGACTTCCACCCAAATCACAATTAAAAGAAAATTCTTAATGGTTTGTTCAGAAAAAGAAACAGGCACTGAAGTCCCGACCAGGGCAGGGGCAAGTCCATGGTTGTGCCTTGAAACGCCAATTATTTTATCTCTTGATGGGCAGAGTTAACGCCGAGAAGATTCCAGAGGCCTTTGGTGGAGGGCACTGTGGGCGCCTTGCCATCTCTTGAAGGTTTTATGCTTAGAAATAAGAACGGGCCTGGGAGGTTACAAAATTAATACATTGTATCGTTGGTTTATTTTTAATAAGCCACCACTGTGGGCCTGGGCCAGGCGTGGGAGCTTCTGCCAGGTTGCCCCTGTCCTGCCGCCCACGAACAGATGGAATAAACACTCTAGGTAGGTCATTTTGCAAGACACACAGTGAAGCTAGTGGGAGTTGGTAGGTCTTCCCTCTCCCCACGGCTGGTGTGCTGAGCAGACATGGGGCCGAGTTGTCGGCATGTTTGGGCATTTATGTTAGTTGCTGGGTAACACGTCACAGCAAAACTCAGTGACTTCAAACAACAGACGCACTATTTCTCGTAGCTTCTAGGGGGTCAGGAATTAGGCAGCAGCTGAGCTGGGTGGTTCTGGCTCAGAATGTCTCAGGAGGGTGCAGTGAAGGGGGCAGCCAATGTAACATCATCTGAAGCTTAGCTGGGGCTGGACCACCACTTCCAAGTTGGCTCCCTCATGGGGCTGCTGGCTGGAGGCCTCAGTGGCCTCCATGTGGACGACACCATGGAGCTGCTTGAGTCTCCCCACAACACGGCGCTGCATTCCCCCAGAGTATATGGTGCAAGAGAGAGCTAGGGGAAGCCGTGTGTCCTCTGATCTGGCTGGGAAGTCACACGGCACCATCTCCAACAGACCACTGATTACACAGGAGGCGAGCGTCTGTCATTATAACCAAAAAATCATGATGCCATCAAATGATCAATAAACACAATGGGCCGCCCGCACCACGGAGAGTCACTCAGCCTCAAGAGGAAGGAAGCTCGGACACAAGCTAACACGTTATGACATGGACAAACCCCGAAAGCACGGGATCCAGTGAGAACCAGATGCAGGAGGCTCTGGAATGTCAGCACCCACCGACATGAAGCATCCAGGCCAAGCAGAGACAGAGTGGAGGCTGCCTCAGGGCCAGGCTAGGGGAAAGGACTGCTTAATGGGTGTGAGCAGTCTTCCGAGGTGACGGAATGTTCTGGAACCAGACGGAGCAGGTGGTTGCCCACACTGTGAATGCACTAACTGGCACAGAATTGTGCACTTTAAAGTAGCTACTTGTTTTTTAAAAAATAAATAATAAAGTAAAATGGTTACTTGTATGTGGTATGTGTACACCGTAGTGGCGCAGGGGTTAAAGCACTCGGCTGCCACCCAAAAGTTTGGTGGTTTGAATCCACCAGCTGCTTCACAGGAGAAAGATGTGGCAGTCTGCTTCCATAAAGATGACAGCCTTGGAACCCTTATGAAGTGGTCCTTCCTGCCCCTACAGGGTGGCTATGAGTTGGAATGGACTTCACAGTAGTGGGTCATTTTTTTTAAAAGATCATCAGTGTAAGGTTTGGTGCTGGGAGACAGAAATAAGGCTGGTAGAGTTCTAAAAGTTTATTAAAGCATCTGCATGTGGACAGGCTAAGACCAGAATGGTGTCAGTCGGGGCTGAGATCAACCGTGCATCAGCCCGAGCTGGGGAAGCTGCGTGGTTGAGGTAGGATGGCAGGCGGTTTATCAGCAGCCCTGTCAGCGCCAGCAGACCACGGCTGTCTGCAGCAAGAGTCACGACAGTGGACGGTCAGCTGTGTCCTTGGAACTGTAAGCTTCAGTGGGTCTTTGCGGTTCTGTCTTGTCCGCCAGGTCTTAGAATTAGGCTGTGACCACGGTCCTGTTCCTCACTTGCACTTTTGGAGAGAAGTATTAGACTCCAAGCCTGGAAATGGCATGAGAACTCAGTCCAGGCGTCTGTCTGTCTGTCACTAAGGCTCTGTGCAGTGCTTGCTGACCCCCACTGGCTGCGGTCCGCTGCACCGCCCACATCCGGCGCGGACCACTGTGGGCCTTCTGGGCCTCCCTTGCTCCCGCTCGTAAGTGCGTGTCTTCATCCTGTTCAGTGAGACACCACGTGCGGAAACACATGGGGGGGGGCCGGGTCGCAGTGAGACAGGCCACGAGGGATGTCAGAGAGGGACTGCCATGGGAGGGGGCTCAGCCAGGGGCCTGGTGACCTGCCCAGAACGGGAGGGGACTGGGGACTTCAGTCCTTTGTG